GGGTTTGGTTTGGGTCATGCTTCCAATCGTACAGTTTCAGCTCTCACAGTAACTCTAGACGTCGACTCCACCCTCTTCTCTCCTTGTCTTTAGTTTCTCCCTGGCAATTATTTTCTTTTACTGAACAACATTGTTAAGAAGCATGCAGAACGCCACAATGATCATTCCTGAGGCACCTGTACATTCATCCTTCAGAGAACTCAAAAAACATAATGAGAATCAAAGTGCAATATGTAAACACTAACAATTATACAACAGTTACATCAGAAGTATTCGGAACTTACCAGATTCCACGAAGTGAAGAACAATGATCACCAAGATACAAGGAGAAATGTGTGTGTCCGTCAGAACACAGCAAGACTCTCCACAGTCAGCCCATTCAACAGAAAACCCACTCACCTCAAATGATTGCTTGGGGAGATTGAAATCTAAGGCCCTACATGTCTGAACAGTACCCACGTCCTCTTCAACGCTCAGGGAGAAGAGAGCGGTTTTATTGCAGACGTACCAGTGCGGCTTCCTGCCAACTTCCCTGGACGCTACAGGCTTCCTTGTGTGCCTCAGAATTCCTCACCCCCAGAGTTGACACCTGTCGGCACCCTTGTTCTCTCCTCTATTTTCGGGCACAGGCATGACTACTATCTTCTTTATCACTAAAGCTGTAATGTATTTCGTTTGCTCTTACAGCTTTAAGCCTCAAACCTTGGTAGCAGAACAATATACTTCATTCCAAAATACGCAAACGAATAGTGTAAGGAACTGGGCTATTATTTGTGTAACAACAACAACAAAAAAGAGAGGTAACTCTACTGCTTGTAAACAAATAGTCATAAAGGTTCACTTTCCATTAGTTAGGCAACTAATAAGTACCTACTCTGGAGCCCTGGTGATGCAGTAGGTTAAGAGTGTGGCTGCTAACCAAAAGGTCGGCAGTTCAGATCCATCAGCCCCTCCTTAGAAATCCTATAGGGCAGTTCTGTTCTGTCCTATAAGGTTGCTATTAGTCAGAACTGACTCCACGGCAATGTTTTTTTTTTCAACCCCAAATTGGATCCATGTATATAATTCCATCGTTTCACATCATATAGTGTGTTAAGTCTTGAGAGCCAGGCGTGCAAACCTCTAGGCACAGGTCATGGTCTACCTGTGAACTTGTAAAAATGCTTATCCACCAATGGGTAGGGTGCCTCCAAGCTGCCATCTTGGTTACCCATAAGGCTGGCCTCTAACCCTTCCTGTTTATTCTTTCAGCTGCCTGCCGGGAACAGTCAACATTTGGGGATAAGACCAAAATCAAGAAGGAAGCAATTCCAGGGGAGTGTAAGCAACACAGTATGTGGATCCCAACAGTCCTCATCGCCAAGGCGGCCAGTACATCACCTAGCACATGAAGAGATATCCAATACCGTATTTTTACACAAATAATAAAACACCTGCTATGTTTGTTTGCCAACCACTCCCTCCCCACACGAGGTATTTTTCATAAGCACGCTATGCTAATTTTTTTTTTTGTTTTACAGAAATATGTTTAAAAAATTGTCACAGTGGTGCTTACAAAAACACTGGGGGGAGGGGGAGCAGTTGACAAACAAATACAGAAGGCATGCGTTACTTGCATAAAAATATGGTAAATATTCACTGAATTAGTGAAATCAAAAATAACACACTTCACACTTCAGTGATTTGGTACATGTATTCTTAGAATATGCATATGCACAAATGAGTGTGCCCATACCTACGCCATGCCATTACCGACGTATGTCTGCATTCATTCAATCAAACACTTCCTGGTTACTAACACTATGGACATTGCATTGTCCCAGAGGCTGTGGATACTAAGCCAAATATAACACTGCCTGACCTCAAAGAGCTTATCTAGTTTACTTCCAGAGTTACTTGCAGCCCTACTTATAACTTCAGCATTAAAATTTGCCATCTGCCTTTTTTTTTTTTCAGAAAGCACAGGGGTCTCAAGCAACAGTCTCCTACGGTTGACACAACTGTCTTCTATACTTTTGTCCATTATGACAAGACACACCACAGAGTAACTGGCATGGAGTTGTACAATGTTCCTTCTAAATCTTGAACTAAGACTATTATCTCCATAGAGATTCTGGGCCCAATGATGATACACTCATTCAACTCTCTGTTAAGTACAAGTAATTCCCAGGAAGAAAAGCAGCTTGTCAAACTGACCTGCTGAACATCCTGCTGGAAGACACACAGCTGCAGCCGCTGGTGGAGCCGGACCTTACGGTGCTGCCAGATGTTTTCCAGCTGCCGCTGGTGGTGTAGCACCTCGTGGATGACATCGAGAACATGATGCACGGCCTTGGAGTAGTTGGCAGAGGCCGTCAAGGAGTCGGAGCTGCCGGGTGTCAAGGGTCGCTGAAGCTTGTCAAGGAGGGACTTCCCATCTTGGCTCACCTGCCCAACAAAGGAGTTTAGCAATTAGCCAAGGTTTGCAGCTTTGTCCAGGTTACGTGGCAGATTCTGTTCAGATGCACACACGTGCACACCCATGCATTCACACACATACACATACATTCACAGATCACAGATACATTCCCAACTACATACATTTACATACACATACATATGCGTTCACAACCACATACATATATACACATAACCACACACATACATTCACATGCACACACATTCACAGATACACAAACATTCTCACACGCTCATATACACACACACACATTCCATAGTTTTACTCAAAGGCATATTTTATAAAATATTAAAAAAAAAAATTAAAACAAATCTATCAGTTATCCGATGACACCACAAAACCAAATTCTGCAAAATACTGTGTTAAACTAAAAGACTATTCGTTACCGTGAAACATGGACAAGGTCACTATCCCATTAAAACCCACTGCCACTGAGTCGATTCCAACTCACAGTGACCCTACAGGACAGAGGAGAACTGCCTCATAGGGTTTCCAAGGAGTGGCTGGTGGATTTGAACTGCCGACCTTTTGGTCAGCAGCCGAGCTCTTAACCACTGCACCACCAGGGCTCCAAGGTCACTATAGTAGATGCTATTCTCAATGACTAAACATACTATTTTGCCTTAAATGACATATATCAGCTCATATATGATGACATATAAAACTACACTGCTGGAATATCTGTAAGTTAACATTTTAAAGTAATAATTCTCTTTCAAAATATATGAGGATATAAGAACAGATCATCATAATGGGGCAAAATTCTAATGCTGAATCTTGAAAACCTGAATTTAAAAAAATCAATATTGAGCACTACGAAAAGAGTATGTACTTAAATTTTTTGACATAATTGGATAGCAATTTTACTTCACAAAATACAAAGTAAAAAAAAAATAAAAATAAGATTTAAATAACACGGAAAACATGGCATTCTGCTTTATTTGGTGCATTAACTTTAAAAAAGTAATTTTAATTAAAATGCCATTATTTTCTAAAACATATTTCAGTGCTATATTATGGCAGTTAATTATCAAACTATAATTAAATGAAAGCAGTCAGACTAATAACAGAAATAAGAAAAGGTGAGGGTGGAACATGGAAAGAAAGCATGATGTATTTTTTCATATTCGTAACTGATTCTTAAGATTTATGAATTACAATGTCAGATACGGTAGAAAAATTATAACCGGATTAGACAATACAAAGACCATGTGCCACATAAAATAACAGGCTGTGTAGTGTAGGGGGGTTCTTAACGAAGTCTTCTTCACCATGTTCTTCCTGCCTGGATACTTCAGAATCTGAAAACTTCCTTGGGTTTCTTCTTAAGGGAGGAGGCTTTCTAACAGATACAAATACAGTTCAGAGGTAAACCCTTAGGATAGAGAGGAAAATAAAGGGAGTGGGTGAATGGACAAGCTAACAGGTGGCAAGTGAGAGGATTATGGAATTTCCTGATCTCTTACTCTAATCTGCTTATAACTTTAAATTGTGCTGGAACGTAACATGTTTATCTTTCAATACCTGAATTTGAGATCTGTGTTACAAGTGCTAACCATACCTTATGAAAGCAAGCTTAAGCCTTTCTGGCTGAAAATTTACGTTATACATCATGATGGCTAAACTTAAGAGGAAACAAGCTAAGTTGATATAACCAAAGATAACACGGTAAAATAGAACCAAGTCAACCACTGAGTTACTGTCAAAAACAAAACAAAACCCTGTAGCCATTGAGTCAGTTCTGACTCATAGCAATCTGGGTGGCACAAATGGTTTGCATCTGACCACTAACCTAAAGGCTGTTGGTTCAAACCCACCCAGCACTGTGGAAGAAAGGCCTGGAGATCTGCTTCTATAAAGATTACAGCCAAGAAAACCCCATGGAGCAGTTCTACTCCATAACACATGAGGTCGCCATGAGAGTTAGTGTTAGGCATGTGTTAAAACAGAAATAGTGGAATGTTAAGAGTCTTCGATAGCAGGGGTTCTCAGCTGCCCCTGAAGTCACTGAAATATACCTGGGCATTTCTTGAGGCTCACAATGATGCTGTGGAGGAGGGTACAGTGACTGACTGTGGCAGAGGGACTTATTGTGAAGGATTTCAGAAAAGAAAAATCCGCTGCTGTCGAGCCAATTCTGACTAACAGAGACCCTGTAGGACAGAGTAGAACTGACCTACAGGGTTTTCAAGGAGCACCTGGTAGATTCGAACTGCGAACCTTTTGGTTAGGAGCTGAGCTCTTAACCACTACGCCACCAGGGATGGATTGAGAGAGGCTCAGTATCCTGAAAGGTGCAGGGCAGTACCACATAATGAAGAACTATCCTCCTTCTCTGTAATTACTGGAGCTAGGTTCTATTTAACATAATAAATGCAAAGTTTTAGTTTGGTTTTGTTTTTTGCCTAGTTCCAACATACACTAATTTTTTCCAGGAATGCAATTACCACGTTAATCAAGGGAAGGCAGTGCTGGGTTTTCTTTCTTTGGCCAGCCAATGTATATTTAACTTTTTTTTCTTCCAATGCAGTTGTACTTAGGCATTTTATATACTGAAATACATTGTTATAGATCACTTTTCTTTTGTTTCTAATTTATACTGTTGTTTATGTATAATTTATACACATAGGTCTTAGTTATCTAGTGCTGCTATAACAGAAATACCACAAGGGAATGGCTTTAACAAAGAGAAACTTATTTTCTCACAGTCTAGGAGACTAGAAATCTGCATTCAGGGTGCCAGCTCCAGGGGAAGGCATTCTTTGTCACTCTGGGGGAAGGTACTTGTCATCAGTCTTCCCCTGGTCTAGGAACTTCTCAGATCAGGGACTCTGGGTCCAAAGGACTCAGTTTGTTCCTGGCACTATTTTCTTGGTGGTAGGAGGTCCCTTTCCTCTCTGCTCAATTCTCTCTTTATATCTCAAAAGAAATTGACTCAACATAGAACCTAATCCTGTAGATTAGGTCCTGCTTCATTAACATAACTGCCTCTAATCCTGCCTCATTAACATCATAGAGTTTAGGATTTACAACACATAGGAAAATCACATCAGATCACATAACAGTGGACAACCACACAATACTGGGAATCATGGCCTAGCCAAGATGACAGACATTTTAGAGGAACACAGTTCAATCCATAACAACACATAAATTCTACGGAAAGGTAGATGAAATTCTCTACACATTTTATTTCAGGATAGTAAAGCACGCATTATAAAATTTCTGTTACAAAATGGGATGCTGCATCTCTTAGGACTAAGTAGGAATCACTGCTCCCAGTCAAGTCGTTCACATTGTGCAGAGCCAGGAAAGAATTCCTTACATTTCCTGGGTGTCATGGATTGAACTGTGTCCCCAAAAACTGTGTGTCAACTTGGCTAGTCCATGATTCCCAGTATTGTGTGACTGTCCACCATTTTGTCATCTGATGTAATTTTTCTACATGTTGTAAATCCTACCTCTACAATGTTAATGGCAGTTACGTTAATGAGGCAAAACTCAATCTACAAGATTAGGTTGTGTCTTAAGCCAATCTCTTTTGAGATAGAAAAGAGAGAAGCCAGCAGAGAGACGGGGGGCCTCATACCACCAAGAAAAGCAGCGCCGGGAGCAGAGTGTATCCTTTGGACCCAGGGTCCCTGTGCAGAGAAGCTCCTAGACCAGGGGAAGATTGATGATAAGGATCTTTCTCCAGAGCCGACAGACAGAGAAAGCCTTCCCCTGGAGCTCGCACTATGAATTTGGACTTCTAGGCTCCTAGACTGTGAGAGAATAAATTTCTCTTGTTAAAGGCATTCACTTGTGGTATTTCTATTATAGCAGCACTAGATAACTAAGGCAATGGGTTTTACTCATTATAACACACATAAGTCAGGAAACGTACATTAGGACATACAAATTGGCAAGCATGCATCAGAGGGATGCAGATCAGAAGGTGTGGCAGAAAGTGACAGCTGCCTCCTCAAAGTCTACTCAGCCTCCTTGATAATCAAACCACTACAGACAGGAATAGCAATACCCTGGCTATAATACTATATTTCCCAGCCTCGCTGAGACACATAAGTGGCCAATATACAGAAGTGCAAAGTGTTGCACAGGGCTTCCAGGAAAGCTGCTAAGGGGGCTGAGTAAGTTGGAAGGTACACTCTTTTCCTCTTGTCCCTTACTCCTCCCTGCTGCCAAGAACTTGGATAAGATGGCTGGAGCTCCAGCAGCTATCGCTGAGCCTGAGGCAACCTTAAAGACAGCAGCCATCCACTAAAAAAGGTAAAACAGAAAGACAGAGGGATCCAGAGACCCTCATATTAACAGAGCCAACACACCAGCTGTGGAATGACAGCCCTTGGACTTCTTTTAGATTGGAGGATAGCACTCTATCTATATTCTATATATTCTACTATTCAGAATGGAATGTCTTTATAAGTAATTATTATGTGAAAAGATATGCTAGATTTTTATGAAGCCTACTGTCCTATTGCATAAAAATACAGATTTTTGAAATGGTACAAATAACCAGAAGAAGATATTATACAGTACATAGCAACCAAATAATTCATATAAAATTTAAGTGCTATAAGTAAGTTTATGGTATGTAATATAGTTCTGGTTTTTTTTAACTAGAGAACCAAGCAAAAGCATTTACTTAAGTTTTATGTTTCTAGCTTCCAAGTATTCAAACCCTATTCCACAAAGGGACAGTGGCTGTAAAAACAACAAGAAACTCTTTTTTAATCAAAGAGCGGGACTTGTCTTCTATAATCTTTTTTTCAGATTCAGCTCTTTGTATCCCCCTTGGGCTACCATGTTCAGGGACCTGAAGGGCAATGAAAGTTATACTTTACAAAGATCAACCTTTTATAAGTGTATGAACTAATATGCTTTAACACCCAAATGAGTCAAGAGAAATGCGAGTACTAACAAAAGCAAAAAAAAGGAACAACCAAAATGATTAAAGTTTAAAACTGTT